GAGACCATAGTGCACCGGCAATAGCAATCCACCACACACGCTTGTGTGCTCGAATTGCAAATAAAGAAAATATTGTACCCCAAAGCACGTTCTGTTTGAGCGATGAAAGAAATTGATTATCTGTTTGGACATATATTCAATTGGAAGCACCAATTAACTCAATGACCGAACTGAGCTGAGGAAAAGTCTGAGATCCGCCTACGTTTTCTGTGAAGTAGCAAAACAGTGCCGCATTTTCGAATGAGCAGTTAAATAGATAACATTTGAATTATCAAAAAATTATAAAGCAAATACATTTATACATACATATGTACCTACTAGGGATGTTAATTTTACAGCTTTTTCCGATCACGGGATTTTCGGGATGTCGGTATCACAATTCCGGGATATTCGATATTCATTACTTTTCAACAACTTAACGTATATTGTTTGAGAAGCTCTCTTACCATAAAAGAAATAATAAATAAATGGGTTTGAAACCAACTTTTTAGTTAGGATTTATTTTAAAGGACTTATTTTAGTCAGGATTTATTTTAAAGGAATTTGTAATTTCAAAGATATGGTTAATTCCAAAAATTATTTAAATATTTCAATGCAATGTGTAGAATAAAAATATGGGTACCAAATGCAAGAGGAAATTTCTGCAGAATTAAAAAAAAATAAATAAAAATGTTTGGATTCACTAGGACGAATAGGTAATTTTTTTAAGCCGATAAAGTTAGAAGGATGAAATTCAAGGAAGTTATCGAGTTTATATAAGTCCTTAACATATAATTTTTTCAAAAACAAATACTGCAAAATTTCAAGGTTAAATTTTAAAAGAACATTTACCAGTCCGTTTGCACCAAAAACTGGAATCTGCTTAAATTCTAAAGGATTTCCTCTTCAATTTGATACCCATTTTTTTTATCAATTTCGAATTACTGACATCAGAGTGAAAAACAAAAAACGCAGTTTTACAGTATTTGGTCCATGCTTTCGCAAATATATTGGGATTTGTGTTTAAAATTTACTATTGCGCGGTGTTATATATACATATGTATAATGAGTTAGAAAAATGTTAATATACAAATATTAATTATTAATAAAACAGGAAATATAGCCAATACTGGTCAACAAAAAGGAGTTCCTATTATTGTCATCAGTGTGAATTACAAATCCCGAAAATTCCGAGTTTTTTTGCCGAGAATTTTAACCTCAAAAATATTGTGTTTCTTTAAGCTCTTTCTTTTCACGCTTACTGTACAAAACCTCTTGTAAATTTGAATTTTGAAACAGGTGGAAACCCTCCAACATGTAGCAAAAAAATACAGTTTATTCAAAACCATTTCGTTTGATACCCATATTCGGATAATTGATTTAACTTAATACATAATTTGAATTTGATTTTCATATATATGGCAACCCTTTAAAAAACTAATTATTCATTTTACACCTCATTTTTGAAAATCGAACAAACGATACAGATTTTATAACTTGGTGTTAAATATTTAACGCAACCATCTCCGAACCCGATTAATAAGTTTCACTTCAACAATATAAAATAAATATATATTTCTTGGAATGGCGCACCAATAGCAGTTTGCAAAACATTTTATTCCGCTAGTTTGTCTCATTTTCATTTTATGTGCGTGAGAGTTAAAAATTGAATAGTTGCGCTTGAAAAAAATAATGGAAAGAAAACGTGTCTGTTGATATTGTTGCACTTTGAAAGGTAAATGATTTGTTCTTGAAACTTCTAATTGCATTTTTATAGAATGTTAACTAAATTAAAATTATATCATACGTTATTGAGCCATACAAAATTAGCCGAGCTAAAAAACACTATAAGAAAGAGGAGAAGAATTTAATAACAAGTTTAGGAAAACAAGCAAATTCGATGAGCAAGATAGCCGATATGTGGACTGTTCCAAAAAGAAGGTGTTCACTGACCTTTATAGCGTAATAAGCCAGAAACACAAGGGAAGTCTTTTAAAATAAATCATGAGGTCAGAGAGAAAAAATAAAAACGTCACTTTAAATAAAAAAGTACGTTTCAAACACATTTATTTATTATTTATTTTATGGTAGGAGAACTTCTCAAACAATATAGAAGCAATTTTTTCGATTTAAGTTCTTGAAAAGTAATGAATATCTAAATCCCGGGACTAATACCGGGATCCCGGGATTGTTATAACGACATCCCGAAAATTCCGGGATCGGAAAAGGCTCATAAATTAACATCCCTAATGTATGCATATACATATCTACATATGTATGCAATTAGCGCTACTTTTGTTCCGAATGTGAATATTTTAAAAACAAACTAAAGACTGCAGCTAAATAAGCGCAGTTGGTTGCCTCATAACTAAATATACATACATTGTTCTATTAAACATTTCAGCTTATCAGTTAGTAAATATGCACTGTAGTATGTACATTCATATATTTATATATATATAGCGTTGGCATAGCAGTAATTTAAAAGCTTACATAGCTTACAACGCTTCGAACAGGTAGCGAACTATTCATAGTCTTCTACGTTTTATCTTTTTGAGACAAAAAGTGTCTGCGAATACATGTCGAGCGCTAACCGTCTAAATAACGTAAGCGACATTTTTTTTCAAAATCTTCCTTTTAATGCCGAAATACATCTAGATGCTAGATCTCAGAATATTTCAGCATCAAAAAGAAAATTAAAAAAAAAAATCTTTTACATTATTTTAGCGGTTAGGGCTCGATATCATCGCATGGAATTTTCCCAGCTTTCGCCTACGTAAGAGTTCGCTGTCGCACATTTCCGTTAAATTTTTAACTATTACATTACAATTTTTAGTACATTTAAGCCCAGTTATTTTTCTATTTACCGTAACATGCTAATCACTTACTAAAACAATGTCTGCGTCTTAGAAGAAAACTTTTTTTTTCTTGTTGCTTTTAAGCACTTAAGGTTGGGTGTAAGTACACAACGCAACACTTAATGCGCAGTTTTACTATCTCCTTTGTGTGCTATTTGCTCATTATCAACTAATATTTACCCCGCTCGGCCGTGATTGTCACTTGCTACTTTGCAGATAGTCCATAAATAGTTTTATGTTACAAATAATTGAATGCGAATGTATTCACTTATTTGCCTCATCTATCTTTTTAAGCTCTTGAAAAGTTTCGAAATGAGTCACAAAATGCTATCATAACATTTGTGATTAATTTTAGTTTAACAATAATTATATTTTAGTTATCTCAACCGTGTATTTCGGTATTTTTCCTCAAGAGCTTACAAAATAAATATTTAGCCTAAGGATTCTATTTGCAATTATAATTTATTTTTACATTAACATTTGTACTTCTGAACCTGCTACCTTTTGTATTATTTTCGTTATGCATATGTAGAAAAAAAAAGAAATTCATTAGCATTGGCGGTGCTCAATAGAACTCTAATTGTATTAATTTTTGACAGGTCACAGCTTCATGCAATTTAAAAATAAGGTACTTTACAATTACTCAGGCAGACAATGGAGATAAAGAGTTCAATCAAGGATTACCCCCTCTTGAGATGGCAGAATCTTGTAGACGTTCGTAAAATCCGATTTTTTGAGAAATAAAGTTAGTTAGTCGCAAAGTCAAGTCACAACCGTCACAGTTGAATTTGGAACATATAATGTATAATTTGCAATAGAGGCAAGCAACTTTGGCGTAAATGTTGAGAATGTTTATTTAACTATACAACGAACTATTTAAAACCATAAACAGAAGACATAATTAGCAGAAAAACTCTGATGCAAGTAAGGAGTAGCTAATTTGGTTTGCGTACTCGTCACACCCGTTACAGTGACTAAAATTCAGACAACTCGTTCGGATTAAATTGTTTTTGCAATTTTTTTCTAGACAACCTATTAAAAAAAAATATTCGTTTTAGAGAATTTTATATTACAGTTTAAGAATTAAGCCTTAAAATGTGAGTTGAAATGTCAAGCGTGGCAACCCTGATCGAAAATATTTTCAGACCAAAGTTCTCAACAATACCTTTCATTTCATATCCATATTGCGATGTTTTAGATAAATTGTGTAGAATCGAAAATAAGTGGCACCCTTATACTATTATCCTAAGGCATAACATTTTTTATATAGGGAAAACATTGTTTAAGAACCTTCTCTTGGTACACATGAATGGTAATATTTTAACTTTTTTCCTAAACAAAAAATTTAACGAATATAGGATTCAAAATAGGTGGCAACCCTATTAAAATTAAAAATAAAATTTTTGGATGCTTTAATTAATTTGTAACTAACTTCGAATAGGTGGCAACCTTATACGACTCTTCTCTGAGATAATGCCCATTCAGATAACGTTAAAATCCAAAACATTATCTACATATGTGCATAATATCATCAAAATCGTTAGAGCCGTTTCCGAGAACCCTATGGATATATGTACATATCTGTCGAAAGGCTGGCTTGAGTATAATGCGGCATCCGCAGCATACCGTTGAAGAACTTTTGGCAAATAAACGTGCAGGAAATAGGTCCGATACTAGCAAGTCAATATTCTTATTAGATTTCATAAAAAAATTCCTTGTCGTTTAAAGAATAAAGGGAATGCTGCATTATACTAAAGCCAGCTTCCCGACATAAGCTACTATTCCATATGAACACAGATACTATATATGTATACAAAAATTGCTCATTTAATGTAATAAGATACATATGTATGCATTCATAAGTACTCACATAGTTCCATACAAACATTCGAAATCTGTCTACGGATGCAATTAAATTAATTAATTGAGTGAAAAGTTTTCACATACCAATTGAATTCATTGTAATTCTGTGTGTTGCAGTGCTGCATACTCGTTTGTCTGTATTACAGATTGATTGAATGTAATGCGTATGAATTAAGTTTTATTGACTTAAAAAATAACTGGGACAAAAAGCTGAGTCATGCCGTCACAAAAACGCCGATTTTAATAAATTTCTACAAAATCAAACTACCTACATAATTTATTTCTTCCTCCCTCCACCAGGTGGTGAAGATCATATTGGTGACAGTGCAGCTGTGCCTCTTCGCGCATTCACGCTACAATCACATCAACTACACCTGGGATAATCGCATCGCCTTTTCGCATCTATTTTTGCGCGGCTGGGACTCTTCTCGTGAGGTGGAATCCTACCCGCCTTCTGTAGGCCCCTTTGCGCTCTACGAAAAATCCGATTTCTATAACACCATCGACTATGCGGTGCGCGGTTATGCCAACATGAGTCGTTCCATCGGCCCCTATGATTACCCGACCGACAACAACGAGATGGCCCCTCTGCATCTCTGCCTCTACAACTATCGCGAAGGCACGATTTTCGGTTTCAATGAGTCGTACATTTTCAATCCGGACATCACTGAGTTCTGTCTGTATTTGCCGCCAAATGTGACCAAGATGGGTGTGCAGGCGTATCTCAAGCAAAGCGGCGTCGAGTTGAGTTTCTCTTCGCTGGTCAAGGCGACGCTGGTGTTCGCCATAAAGACGATCAATTTTAAGGCTTACGGCGGGCCGTTGTCCGCGCCCGATTGCTTCAAGTTCGATGTGAGTATAATCTTCGACAATCGCGATCACGACGGACAAATGCTGCTTTCGCTCGATGCGGATGCGCAGCGTTTGCGCTGCAAAGGCGATGTTGAGTTCATTTCGAATGCAGAATTTGATGCGGCTTTGCGCAGCATGTTGAACATCCTGGTGCTGATGGTGTGTTTACTGTCCTTTGCGCTGTGCTCCCGCGCGCTGTATCGCGCCTACTTGCTGCGCTGCCAGACGGTGAACTTCTTCCGCATGCACTTCAACAAGGAGCTGAGCTTCGACGGTCACATGGAGTTTGTGAATTTTTGGTGAGTGATATACTTTTTAAAATGAAATCTCAATTTAGGGGCGGTAGTGAATCAAACCACCGTCACGAAAAAATGTGACGATTGGCATGCAACGGAAGCGCATCTTTCTTCACTCTGTCTTGCTGCATTTATTAAAATTTTGAGTTGTTGAGCGTTAGCATGGGCCGGAAATCGGCTTTTTAAGAATTTTGATTGGTAATAGCAAAAATATGGTTCATTATGCTCTAAAAAATATCTGTGTGAAGTGTGAAAATTTTTGGTCAATATCCTAGGCTCGCTCAAGTCCATCAAAGTCCAAGTACTAAAAAAAAATTTTCTTACCTATCTTCGATTCTCTACAAAAAAAGGTCCATATACCAAATTAAAGGACTAATACTTTAGAAGATTATTGCAATTTTAACAAAAAAAAAATGTATTAATTAACTTATTTATTAATTTTTATTTTTTTAGCATATTAAACTTTGATGGACTTGGGCTAGCCTAGAGTATTGACCAAAAAATTCCAAATTTCACACATATTTTTTATAAAGCATAATGATTCATATTTTTGCTATTACCAATCAAAATTCTAAAAAAAAAGGGGTTTTCGGTCCACGCTATTGAGCGTACTGCACAGCATTTTAATTTTAATACAAATACGAACAGCAAATGAATCGAGCGATGTTATGTTTTGTTTTTAAACTACCAATTACTTAAACGCTATTTTCTTCTTCGCACGCGCAGGTACGTAATGATCATCATCAACGATTTGCTGCTCATCATTGGCTCGTCACTGAAGGAGCAAATCGAACGCAAATTTCTAGTCGTCGATCAATGGGACACCTGCTCACTCTTCCTAGGCATCGGTAATTTGCTAGTGTGGTTCGGCGTGCTGCGCTATCTGGGCTTCTTCAAGACCTACAACGTCGTCATACTCACACTGAAGAAAGCCGCGCCGAAAATCCTACGCTTCCTACTCGCAGCGCTACTCATCTATGCCGGTTTTACATTCTGCGGCTGGCTCATACTCGGCCCCTACCATATGAAGTTCCGCTCGCTCGCTACCACCTCGGAGTGTCTTTTCGCGTTAATTAATGGTGATGACATGTTTGCCACCTTCGCGACACTCTCATCAAAGGCCGACTGGCTGTGGTGGTTCTGCCAAATCTACTTGTACTCCTTCATTTCGCTGTACATTTATGTCGTGCTATCGCTCTTCATCTCAGTCATTATGGATGCATATGACACGATCAAGTGCTACTATCGTGACGGCTTCCCCATTTCGGATCTGAAAGCATTCGTGGGCACGCGCAACGAGGAGGATCTCACATCAGGTGTGTTCATGAACAACATGGATGACTTTGATGGGAACGGTTTGCTGGATGTGCTACGCCAAGTCTGTTGTTGTGGGCGTTGTCGGGGGGACAGTGGCGGTACAAGTGGCAGCAACGGACCCTCTGGGTACACCAGTCTAACGAGTATTATCAAGTGATTGAATGTTGTTGAGAATATTGATGATGTACATTCAATTGGAACTGTACTGATGAATGAGACGACGACGACGACGACGACGACCACGAACGAACGGAGTACGAATTGACGCTTGGAATGTGTTGTGACACCGCCGCTGCTGATTTGCTGAAATGCTATGTTTGCAAGCGTTGTTCATGGCATGCATTAGCTGATTCATGTATTATTATTTCTTTTTACTTTACTCTTAGTCATATAATATGTAGTTTGCTTTTTTGTTGATTTTGTTTAGTTGAAAGTTAAATATTTGCTTGCTGGCAAAATATGAATGCTACGTACTGCATTTCAAAGTTTGCCTTCATACATACATACATACGTATGTATATCTATAAATCCGAATGAGGAACAAGCATGCTTGAATATATAAATATGTGACGTCAGAATAGATCGAGTAATAGGTTGTAGCTTCATATGAAACCGGGAAATGCATTTTTGCGCTTGTGAAGAAGAGCTTGCTGGAAAAATGCCAGCAAATTGAAAATGAAGAGGGGCGCTACCGCTTTGTAAATTAGATTTTGTTGTGTAAAAATCAGGGACCAAAAATCAGTTTTACAAGCGTATTTTGTGTCATAGATTATTAAACCGGTAACAACATTTTGTAAGTAATGTATCTGTGGGTAATTTCGTAACTTTGAAACCACATTAGGATAAAAAAAGACATGCTGAAGATTGGCTGACTTCCAAAACGTCAATTGCATTGCCTAGTGTACAAAGTGTAAAGTTCCGTAACGCCGGACTACAAATGGTTGACAATGTATACTTTTCCAAAACGTATCCGAAAAGTTATCAAAACGTATCGCTAGAGCAATCATCGCATCACAAACAAAGTTGATGCTTCGTTTGTTCTTGGTTGCGATCGGGTTTGTGAAAATGGAAAATTCCGAAAGGGCGTTCAGTGTTATATTAGGGGCATTCTCCGAATCTTGCAAAGCCGTTGCACGTAGCACGGATTGCATAACTTGCAAACATACAACAACAAAATACATGGGAAACACCATTTCCTATCGCTGCAAAATATGCAACNCATGTACATATTTCTCTCATTGTATTTGTTACAGAATTTCGTGCAATCCTTGCATCGTGCAAGACTTCGGGAATACCTCTATTGAATATTCAAAATATGCAATGTTTATGGTAATGTTTCACAACTCTGCATATACAAACAGTTTAAATACCGCAGTATAACAGTATCCAAACATTGTATTGGTATGTTTTGGAAGTCAGCCATTTATTCAAGTGCGAATATAAAATTTTAATTTTTGAAAAAAAAAATATATTTTTTATTAATAAAGTTACGAGTAAATTTTGTAAAGCCAAAGAAGTGACGAATTTGCATGTTCATGTTTGTATAACCTGTTCAATAGAAAATAATTCGACGCAAATTTCTAAATTTAATTACGAACAAATTTACTCAATGTAAACGTTAAATCGCCTACAAGTATGCATTAAAGTGTATATTTTGTTGT